GGGGGGGGTCATGGAGACAGTTTTGCACATGTTGGGGCTGGGGTCGATCAGACATCCAGATGGACGTATACAGTCTAGAGTGTAGTCAGGAGGGGCTAAGATGGCAGAAGGCGCACCTAGGCATGACTGGAGTCACACAAGGGTCACACAAGAAATTTCTCTAAAAGAGCAAAATCGATGGGAGAGAAGACGAGGGGGCTGAGGATGGAATCCTGAGGCACAGGAGCCTTTAGGGATGGGCAGAAGAGAAGTCGGTGAAAAATTCCAAGAAGGGGCAGGCCAGAAGGCAGGAAGAGAACCAGAAGAGAATGTTGTGGGGATGGCAAGAGACGAGATGATTTCAGGAAGTGGTCAAGAGTATCATATGCTGAGGAAGGTCAGAAAGATGAGGTTTCTGTACGCTGAGTAGTGAAAGGGAGGAAAAGAAAGCTTGGAGAGGAGGAGATGGGATGAAAAGTACAAAAGCAGCGGGGACCCAAGATGAGAAAGGCAAGGATATTCTTAGGCGGAGGAGAAATTATAGTTCCATGTTAACAGATACAGATTTTTCCTATGCAAATTGGAAATTATGATCCCAACACAGGATGCTGGCATTTTGCACTTTCAAATTCCTAATCAGAAATGGGATTCAGTAAGTTGTTTTTAACTGAACAAAAACAGTAGGAGGTCGTATTTAGCTTTTGATTTTAAAATAAACTTTGCATAATCACTCTCTATCCAGAACTGTTTTGACTTGAGGACATGGGGAGGTGGATGCTTTGCAATTTTTGAACCAATAAGAGAGAAAGGGAATAAAACATGAGTTAGCAAAATCAGATATGGAAATAAAGGATCGCCTTGCTCTCATATGTAAATAATACATTTCTGCAATATTCAGAGGTTAAAAATCGTATTAAAAAACTTTAATGAGACAGAGAAGGAGGGAAAAAATCTGACCTTACAACAGAAATGAATAAAATATTCAAAGGAATTTTAGTTATTGAACTTCATTGCCTCAGCGTATGCATGGGAAATACACCAAAGTGGAAAATGGAAAATATATTCAAATCTTGATTTTCCAAATTGTTGGTTCCCATAGGTTTGGACATTGGTTCGCCAGAGGGCTTTCTCATTGGCACTGAATATGAGAATTCTATAGCTGTCAGTCATTGTTTTCTATTTTTAAAAAAATCAAGAAAAAGAGGGAGAGGACTCAAATCAATAAAATTAGAAATGAAAAAGGAGAAGTTACAACAGACACCGCAGAAATACAAAGCATCCTAAGAGACTACTACAAGCAACTCTATGCCAATACAATGGACAACCTGGAAGAAATGGACAAATACTTAGAAAGGTATAACCTTCCGAGACTGAACCAGGAAGAAACAGAAAATATGAACAGACCAATCACAAGTAATGAAATTGAAACTGTGATTAAAAATCTTCCAACAAACAAAAGTCCAGGACCAGATGGCTTCACGGGTGAATTCTATCAAACAATTTAGAGAAGAGCTAACACCCATCCTTCTCAAACTCTTCCAAAAACTTGCAGAGGAAGGAACACTCCCAAACTCATTCTATGAGGCCACCATCACCCTGATACCAAAACCAGACAAAGATACTACAAAAAAAAGAAAATTACAGACCAATATCACTGATGAACATAGATGCAAAAATCCTCAACAAAATACTAGCAAACAGAATCCAACAACACATTAAAAGGATCATACACCACGATCAAGTGGGATTTATCCCAGGGATGCAAGGATTCTTCAATATACGCAAATCAATCAATGTGATACACCATATTAACAAATTGAAGAATAAAAACTGTATGATCATCCCAATAGATGCAAAAAAAGCTTCTGACAAAATTCAACACCCATTTCTAATAAAAACTCCAGAAAGTGGGCATAGAGGGACCCCACCTCAACATAATAAAGGCCATATATGACAAACCCACAGCAAACATCACTCTCAATGGTGAAAAACCAAAAGCATTTCCTCTAAGATCAGGAACAAGACAAGGATGTCCACTCTCACTGCTATCATTCAACATAGTTTTGGAAGTCCTAGCCACGGCGATCAGGGAAGAAAAAGAAATAAAAGGAATACAAATTGGAAAAGAAGAAGTAAAACTGTCACTGTTTGCAGATGAAATGATACTATACATAGAGAATCCCACCAGAAACCTACTAGAGCTAATCAATGAATTTGGTAAAGCTGCAGGATACAAAATTAATGCACAGAAATCTCTTGCGTTCCTATACACTAATGATGAAAAATCTGAAAGAGAAATTAAGGAAACACTCCCATTTACCAATGCAACAAAAAGAATAAAATACCTAGGAATAAACCTACCTAAGGGAGACAAAAGACCTGTATGTAGAAAACTATAAGACACTGATGAAAGAAATTAAAGATGATACAAACAGATGGAGAGATATACCATGTTCTTGGATTGGAAGAATCAACATTGTGAAAATGACTGTACTACTCAAAGCAATCTACAGATTCAGTGCAATCCCTATCAAACCACCAATGGCATTTTTCACAGAACTAGAACAAAAAAATCTTAAAATTTGTATGGAGACAAAAAAGACCCTGAATAGCCAAAGCATTCTTGAGGGAAAAAAAAAAAGGAGCTGGAGGAATCAGACTCCCTGACTTCAGACTATACTACAAAGCTACAGTAATCAAGACAATATGGTACTGGCAGAAAAACAGAAATATAGATCAATGGAACAGGCTAGAAAGCCCAGAGATAAACCCATGCACCTATGGTCAACTAATATATGAAAAAGGAGGCAAGGATATACAATGGAGAAAAGACAGTCTCTTCAATAAGTGGTGCTGGGAAAACTGGACAGCTACATGTAAAAGAATGAAATCAGAACACTCCCTAACACCATACACAAAAATAAACTCAAAATGGATTAGAGACCCAAATGTAAGACCAGACACTATAAAACTCTGAGGAAAACATAGGAAGAACACTCTTTGACATAAATCACAGCAAGATCTTTTTTGATCCACCTCCTAGAGTAATGGAAATAAAAACAGAAATAAATGAATGGGACCTGATGAAACTTAATAGCTTTTGCAAAGCAGAGGAAACTACAAACAAGACAAAAAGACAACTCTCAGAACGGGAGAAAATATTTTCAAACGAATCAACGGACAAAGGATTAATCTCCAAAATATATAAACAGCTCATGCAGCTCAATATCAAAAACACAAACAACCTAATCCAAAAATGGGCAGAGGACCTATATAGACATTTCTCCAAAGAAGACATACAGATGGCCAAGAAGCACATGAAAAGCTGCTCAACATCACTAATTATTAGAGAAATGCAAATCAAAACTACAGTGAGGTATCACCTCACACCGGTTAGAATGGGCATCATCAGAAAATCTACAAACAACAGATGCTGGAGAGGGTGTGGAGAAAAGGGAACCCTCTTGCACTGTTGGTAGGAATGTAAATTGATACAGCCACTATGGAGAACAGTATGGAGGTTCCTTAAAAAACTAAAAATAGAATTACCACCTGACCCAGCAATCTCACTCCTGGGCATATACCCAGAGAAAACCATAATTCAAAAAGATACATGCACCCCAATGTTCATTGCAGCACTATTCACAATAGCCAGGTCATGGAAGCAACCTAAATGCCCATCAACAGACGAATGGATAAAGAAGATGTGGTACGTAGATACAATGGAATATTACTCAGCCATAAAAAGGAACGAAATTGGGTCATTTGTAGAGACATGGATGAATCTAGAGACTGTCATACAGAGTGAGGTAAGTCAGAAAGAGAAAAACAAATATCATATATTAACGCATACATGTGGAACCTAGAAAAATGGTACCGATAACCGGTTTGCAGGGTAGAAATTGAGACACAGACATAGAGAACAAACGTATGGACACCAAGGGGGGAAAGCGGTGGGGGGAGGTGGTGGTGGTGTGATGAACTGGGCGATTGGGATTGACATTTATACACTAATATGTATAAAATAGATAACTAATGAGAACCTGCTGTATAAAAAAAATAAAATTCAAAAAAAAAGAATTGAGGTATAATTGACATAGAACACGATTAGTTTCAGATATACAATGAAATGATTCAATATTTGTACATATTGTGAAATGAGCACCACAATAAGTCTACTTAACACTCATCACCACGCATAGTTACGTAATTTTTTTTTCTTGTGATGAGCACTTTTAAGCTCTACTCTCTCAGCAACTTTCAAATATGCAGTACGGTATTATTAATTGTAGTCACCATGCTGTACCTTACAACCTCATAACTTAAGTCATTGTTTTCTGTTCTGTCATTCTTCCTGGAAACTTTTAAAAAATAATAATATTAGTTTTATTAATTTATCCTAAACTGCATAGCATATAGATTCCCTACTCTTATGTTTTGAAAAATATTACAGTGCCATAAAAATTTACAGGAACTTGGGTCATATCTGCCAACTGCCATAGCTTTTTGCCATGTAATTGCAGGTACTTCTATCAATATTATAATAAATGTTCCTCTCTTGATTTAAGTTTAACTGACTATGTTAGACTTGCTCCTTGCACTTTGTGGCCATTTCCGTGTTTGAACCTGTTTGTATGGTCAAGATGAAATAAATACATGTCAGAGCATGTTCAAGACATACATTTTCACTAATTAAATTTTTATTGTCTTTTCAGTGGGATCTGGGGAAGAAAACTAGGCAAATACATGTGTTCAGTCTGTCGTGCTGACTTGAAAAATTCTGTTTTATACTCTGCTGTTTTTCTGTATATTTGGTTACTTTTTGCCCTACCCATCCCTATGTGTCTCTACTTGTGAAGTGCTGGGAGATTATGTTGGTTTTATTATCGTTTGTTACAGTGATCAAAGATTCTTGAGACAGTACACTCATTATATGTCAGGTCTGGCATAAAGTTTTTAAAAAGACATACATTGAAAAAAACCACAACATTTTAACCTTTTTTACACATACAACCAATGGCATTAACATTCACATTGGAATGAGTGGGAAAACTGAATCTAAAATGCTGAGTTATGGGACTTCCCTCTCAGTCCACTGGTTAAGACTCCATACTTCCACTGCAGGGGGCAGGGGGTTGATCCTTGGTCCAGGAACTAAGATAAAATAGTGCATGACACGCAGTGTGGCCAAAAAAAAAAAAAAAAAAAAAGCTGAGTCATGAATGCCGTCCACAGTTTCACGAAGGGCTGACTAAGCTCAGGCTAGATCCACGACAGACCCCACTGCTTTGGGCCCAGGAAATCTGCAAATACCATTCTCGATTCTTCCACTGGAGCAGAGAATTGTGAGATTCAGAAATGGAATGTTCAGGAATGGACACCCCAAGGACCCACTGCATGGGCAGTGTTCCAGGCTCACTTCAAACTCTCACCAGTTCAGTGTCTGGGGACCAGCTGACGACTGAATCTTTGTCTTCTTGAAATGCATGAAAGGTCATCTTTTATGTTTTCATTGTTACTTCTCTCATGTGGCCCCCAGGGCAGGTTCAGAAGAGTGAAAAGTTTATATTACAAAAAAAAAAAAAGTAGTTGCTTTCACAGCTACAATACGTACTGCCAAAATTTTGGGCATATATGAGCCTGGGAGGGGACTGAAAAGCAGTACTTGAAGTTAAAACCATGTGCATTTGGGAATTCTGTCCAATCCAAAATCTGCGCACTGAGACAACTCACCAGGATCTTTGCGGGGCTCTGTCTGTGAGGCTCCAGCGCAGGCACATCTCTCTTCCTGACCAGATGAGGGATGGTGGAGTTTCGCAAAAAGGCGCTCAGCTCGGGGGTGTCTTCGGGGGAGGCAGCGGGCTGCAAAGAGCGAGCCAGAAACAGCACATCAGGTACATGAGCACTTGGCACCTTTTCATTTGCCTTGAGTGCTAGGCAATTTTTTTTTTTTTCTTGACTGTGATTCACCTGAGAATTCAGACCAGCAGCATACACATCAGCAAGATGGACCACACTGGGGGCCAACAAGCCTTTCCATTCTCCAATTATAGGAATTCCTGAAGCCCGGGGAAGGCACTCCTGGAAAGTTTATCTTTGTAAGCATAAGATTTTAAGCAGAAGTGATTTCCCCGTAAGGGCGGAGAAGGTGGAAGTGACTTTCTAAGTGTGAGCTGTCATTTTCCCATTACTTTGTTCTCATTGTCTATCAGGGAACCGAGGAACATTCTGTGTGGTGAGATGCATCCTGAGGTGGCAGAAAAGTGAGGTGCTGATGGTGGGGAAACAGCCAGATGTGGTCAAGGACTTGGGCGTGTCTGAGCCCCAAACCCTGTAGCTGTTAAGTAGTGCTCCCTCAGGAGAGAACTGTGTTGCAATGAAAATGACTCTTCCCTAGCACACCACGTGAGCAGTGTGCCATGATGGAGCTTGTTTTCAGCCCTGAGTTTGTTTTGCAAGTGTTCCAGAACTTACGATGTTATCTCAGGCTCCGTGCTGGCCATATCTGATCACCGAATAAATATTTTGAGAATTCCAATAAATCACACATAGTATCCCATTAAAATTCTTTATTTTAGACCGACTGAATATAAAACCTAATGTTTTGCTCCCCACTACCCGTCCCTGACAGCACATCTTCTTTTACCCAGTCTTTTTTTTGTAGTCACAGGAAGAATCCTAGTATGCTCGTCTCCGTGGAATGAAAAAAGATATTCCTACACTGCAGCTGAAATGATAGGGCTCATTATGTCCTAAGAACCTAGAAAAATCTACTGGATAAACAGAAAGATAGAGTCCAGGCTTCTTGGTATGACACAGCCCCCTATATGCTGACCTCTGCCTGCTGCACCAGCCTCCCCCTTCATCAAGAGGCCCGGACATCCTGCTTCCCAGCAAGCAGAACGACGCTCCGCTCCTGCCCTGCACCAGGCTGATTCCCTGAGGCCTGTCTGATGTTCCAGATGATGGCTCTGCTCTCCATCAGCACCTATCAAGCTGCACAGTCACTCTGCCAACTGGTCTGAGTTGCCCCATGAGAAAATGTCAAATGAGAAGCATAGAGTCATATATAACATCCCAACAAATATCAGAAAAAAAAAAAAAAGAGGAAGGAGACCCAGCCGGGAAAAGTCACAGGGGGGAAATCAGATGTAGGAGGACAACCCAGGAAAGTGTGATTCTACAGCAGCCTCAGGAAAAGAAAGTTGCAAAAATAGTGACTAATGGGCTAGATTCTTTGCTATTCCTCCCATGGACAGATTAGGGGCTAATCCCCCCCTTAAGCCTGGACTGGCTTCAGGGACTTGCTTGACCAAAAGAATGTAGCAGAAAAGAAAAATAAATGAAAAATAAGTGACTAAGAATGTTAAATCCTGCTGAGGAATAAAGAAAGGTTAGGACTAAAAGGATTCACTGAATTTGTCACTTGAGAAATTATGGACATACGATCCAGCAGCTCCACTTCTGGATAGTTACCCCAAGAAAACAAAAACACTAACTGGAAAAGCTATCTGCATTCATGTTCAGTGCAACACTGTTTCCAATAGCCAAGCCTGGAAGCAACCTAAGTGTCCACCAATGGATGAATGGACAAAGAAATTGTGCTAAACATATACAACGATATACAATGCAGAATTATTCAGCCATAAAAAAGGAAGGAAATCCTGCCATTTGTGACAACACGGATGGACCTTGAGGGCAATATGCTCAGTGAAATAAGACACAGAAAGACCTTATGATCTTACTTACAAGTGAAATTTAAAAAAACAAAAACAAAAACCAAAAAAATCACGAAACAAGCTTATCAGAGAATAGATTGGTGGTTGTGAGAGGTGAGGGTCAGTGGTGGGTGAAATGGGTGAAGGGGATCAAAAAGTACAAATCTCAGTTATAAAGTAAATAAGTCCTGGGGATGTAATGTATAGCATGGTGGCTATAAGTAACAATACTGTAGTGTATATCTGAAAACTGCTAAGAGAGTACATCTTAAAAGTTCTCATCCCAAGGGAAAAAAATTTGTAAATATATAAAGTGATGGATGTTAACCAGACATCATGATCATTTTGCAATAGATACAGATATCGAATCATTATGTTGTACATCTGAATACAATAAAATGTTATATGTCAATTATATCTCAATTTAAAAAAAACAAAAAAAGAAGTTATGGATGCCCTTTCCTGAGCAGGGGATTGGTATAGGTGGAAACTGAACCACAGAAGCTAAAGAATGAACGGGTTTAGAGAAATGGATAATTATTTGAAGAAGCATGAAATTAAATCTCAATCTTATTCTCATGTTAACTAATTCCTAACGGCTAAGAGATGAGGTGCAGCTTCATCCTCCAAATAAGAAAGCACTGAAACAAAGCAAAATAAAACATGAATATGCTTAGCAGCTATTTATAACGGAGACAAAAGATAGTAACATAAAACTTTAAGGGCATAAAGAGGATGCTGGTTTAAAAGTTATGACATTTGTACAAAAGACTACTGGACAGTTTTTTAAAAATGATGTAGAGCTATGTAGTAATTTAGAAAGATATAAGATCTTAGTAAGAGGAAAAGGCAGGTTACAAAATTGCACACATAATACGATTTTTAAAAATGGCTGTTTATTTACACTGTGCGTCAGAAATAGGACTATTTCGCCATCTAATTGTGAGGCAGTGGTGGAGTTTTAATGATATTAAGGAAGTTTTGCTAATTACTTTTTAGGTATGATAATGGAATTGTGGATTTCTAAAGAGTGTCCTTAATTATTGGCAATATACAATGAAATGTTTATGGGTGAAGTGAAAAAATAATGCATAAATAAATAGAAAATATAACAGTAAATGGGTGGTGACATTACTAGAAATTAAATATTTTCTTCTTCATGTTTTTACATCTTGCCTGATATGTTCCTATGATGGACGTTTAGTACCTCTTAAGATGAAAACCAAAAAAATTATAATAAGAGTAAAAGAGAAATAAGGAAGTAGGGGTAGCAAGCTTGGCTAACAGTGGAAGGGAAAAGAAATCCGTTCTTGCAAGAGGATACAGAGGCAGGTTATTTGCTTATTGTTTGTTTTGAACATGGTGGAAATAAGTAACTTTATAGGCCCCAAGGAAGGAGCTAGTAGAGAGGAAGTTGCAGATACAGGAAACAGGGGGAATAGTCGATGCAGCAAAGTTAAATTTGGAACTGGGAGAACTTTCCTCTGAAAGTGCTGGAGAGGAGCTAAGGATGAGGGAGCGACGATTGGAAGGTGTATGTGTGGGCGGGAGGCGGGCGGCGAGGAGGGATTTGGGATGGGAAATGGGTCATTTGAAGACTGCCTCGCTTTAAGGTCACCTGCTAATAGTAGTGATGTTCGAGAGACTGGATAGGAGGTGCGGGGAGAGGAGTGAAGGTCTGGAGAAGCCGGTTGAGGAGAGCCGGAGGGAGAGACCATCAGATGGCAGAGGGGAGTCTGCAGATGCTGCGGCCCAGTGAGCACAAGCCGCCCTCGGTCTGCAACAAGCCCGCAGGCTAAGAGGTAGAGAAGCCAAAATCTGGGAGGGTACAGGGACTTGGAAAGGATAGAGGACAAGGGAGGCGAAGTAAGGGAGCTTGTACAGGAATGTTTTAATCAGCTCATCGTGGATTCCAGGCTTGGCAGGAAAGAAAGCATGGCCAAAGGCAGCCTTGGGAGTCGGGTGGGTGATCTGACTCAGAGAAAGTTTTCATATCAAGGAAGGAAAGGGCTAGTGGAGAAAGGAAGTGAGAAAAATAGAAAAGCAGGAGATTGAGTTAGAGTCTTGGATGCTGAACTGAATATTTCAGAGGTCAGGTAGCTAGAGGTGATGTTCAGAGCACTGGAGTGATGAGGTGCCTGGGAGTGGGGTGAGGGTCAGCCCCATGGCCTTTGCAGTATCCCAGGACAATGGCAGGTGAGCCATGAGTTAGCTCAGGGTTACTCAGTGGTGGAAAATCTGATAGAGAAACCTTTACAACGTAAGATTAAAACTTGAGCTTAGACAGAAAATTCAGAATTGTGGAAATCTTTAAGATTCCCTTATATGTTTTCCATCATACACTCTGTGTGTGTGTGTGTGTGTGTGTGTGTGTGTAATTTTTGCTTTGAGATTTGTTATGTCCAATTTCTTCTTTCTTTAATAGGTCACTGGGAGACATGTTAACTTTGTAAGTAACCAAACTATAGAGCAGAGATGCTGGAAAGAACTAGGGAATATTTTTTATTCCCAAGGTATAGCCTAGTAGTCCTAGTAGTAGCTGTAGTAAAATAATAGCCCAAAGAGAAGAAAACTTCAACTTCCTGTGTGTTCATATCAGATGCAGCTTGTGTACAGATAAAGTTATGACACAACCTATTGTGGTGGTCCCTGGTGTACCATTTCTCACAAATATTTCTAAATGGTCTCTCGGTAAAACAAAGGACTTTCTCTGAGCTAGAGAATGAACGAATGACACAGCAGGGGTTGGTTGATAAAATGTGTTTCTTTCTTTTAGTGACATTCTTTTACAAACAGAGGAATGCCACGCTTAAACACCATCATCAGAAAGTCTTCCAATGCCTCGCAACACAGTTTTCTCAAATGGCATTCCAGAAATTATTTCAAAGGACAAAACAAAATACAACCCAAAAAACAAGGTAGAAGTTATCCAAGAAATGTAAACAGTTAGTTAAAGGCTATTTTCCAGATGAATTTTCAGAGCCTGTTTCACAATGGATCATGAACCCATAAGTCAAATTTTTCCTTAATCTGAAACCCTTAGGGGTGAGGGAGGCTGGCCCCTTAGCGCCCATGTTAGGCGGACTTTCAGTTCAGGGTAATGTTTGCTAAGTGCTATGCAAGCTGGTGGTAAACACTCATGTA